TATATTTTGAAATTAGTGACCAAAATAGATAAAATATAAGATCACTGTGTAATTAACCCTAATTATTATTACGAACATGTTTGACTGAAGTTGTTAATTTAAAAAACGCAAAAATCATTGAAGAGTTACCGTCAATTAAATAATCAAACACATCAGTGTGAAATACAAGGTTAGATAAATATTAGGCTCTAGTTTTAAGTTTAGGGCGGTTGCTTGATTTTCTGTAAGGAAGTTTCAATGTCGTAGGGTTCTGATATTTTTTTAAGAGTTACATTTACATCTTTCAAGTTATATTATGATTCGCTTAAGTGGTAGGGGTTAGTATATTTAAATTATGATAGTTTTATAGCCTGCAGAATATTCAACGAGTTATTAACGGGGTTAGTTCGAGTGATAAGTAGATTAATATTATTTAAGGTCTCAGGTTTGAGTCTCTGTGTATGTAGAAAATTTTCGCTGAGAGACTCGCCCACCAAAATCAAGTATGCGACTCGGATCGATCCAGATTAGTCAAAACAAATCATTGGAACTTAAGGACAAAAAATATTGGATGAGTTTTAGGGATGGCAACGGGCCGGGTTCGGATCGGGTATTGGTCCTCCGTCCCCGTTTAAAAAATCCGTATCCGTCCTCGCTTAAAAAATTGTGGGGATTTAAACGGGGATCCCCATCGGATAATCGGGGGAAACCGCAGGGAAACGGGTATCCCGTTTAGCATAAACGGTTATTTAAAGGGTATCGGGCCGGAATATATATTTAAATTAAAAATATAAATATATATATTTTAATTAAATTAATTTAAATATTATATATATAATAATTATTTTTAATATTTATCGCCGGGTACCGGGGCGGGTAATTGAAGCGGGGATTATTAAACCCGTCCCCGTCCCTGTTTAACATAAACGGTTTTTTCCGTCCCGTCCCCATCCCATTTAGCATAAACGGTTTTTCCCTTTCCATTAATTGAATTTTCGGTTTTTCCCGTCGGGTTCGAATTTTTTTGCCATCCCTAACGAATTTATGTAATTAACGCCATTTTCATGGATAAAATTATTATAAATGTGGAGATTATAAAAGAATAAACTATTTAATAATTAAACATTAATAGTTATGGTAATTATGTATGTAGTGTATGTACGAGGTGTCAATGATTAAAAGTTAAAAAAAATATTTATCTTATAATTATTTTAAATTATTAAAAAAAAAAATCAGAATCTAATATCATCAACGTTAAAATAATATCTTTTATAATACAAAATTCAATGAAACAACAATAATAAGTGATTTATCTTGCAGTTCTTTTAAAAGAACATCAACCATGGTTTTGCCTTAAAAAACAGATAATATCATTGTGTACATAAATTACAGGTCTTTGAAAGGAAAAGTAGTTATTGAATTTTGAGTTTTTGAGTTAAATTAGCGGGGTCCATGTGAAATGGTAAATTGCCACTGTGCAGGAGGTTGTTTCACCTACCAAAGTAGTTGAGATTGGCCAAATTTGACCAATACCAACCGGTTCTCTGAAATTTGATTCCTTCTTTCTTCTTTTTTATACAATATATCTGCTCAATTCTGAGTACCACGATACATCCTGGTTCCTTTTTCTATCAAAACAAGGAAAGATTCAAATATTGGGGTTCTTTTTCTCATGTTGAAATCTCAATAAGTTTGAATCTTTTTTATCTGTTGGTTTGATCCTGCATGATTGCTTTTGGCTAACAATTTCTGCATGCAATAGTTCAATTTCTTTTTTTGAAATTTTTTGTCGTTCATGAGCTGATCTCATTTTGTAGACTGCTCTCGGTTGGTTGACTCTTGCAATTTGAATGTCTTACAGTAAGTTATAGATCGAATACCTTTGATTGAACAAGAAGTGTTTAATTCATTTTTGCTTAATCTGCTATAACAAGTTATTTCGGTTTCGTGTCGAATGCGTTTGACTCGCAAGAATTGCTAGCACTTATATTTCATTCTAGCTATGAATCTGTTAACTTTAGAAGTAATTCCAACACCATCATTTTTGGGCATTTAATTGATTCTTCTTTTATACAAACAGTAAAGTTTGTGTTTAACAGATCTTAAATTGTGAATCAAAGTGGTACATTTTGCATGTAAGAGTTCATATAAGGTTCCAGTTAGCTTATTTAGTTAAGGATTTTGATGGTTTATCATGGACCTGGAACTTTTTATAGCTCTTTCATTGGGCAAAACATGATGAACAGAGCTTTTATAATGTGAGGCTCACCATTTACCGGTTAAGTTTATCTTGAACGTTTTGGTATCGCACAGGTCGGCGCAGGCATGATTACTTTTAGTTTTGCACCTAGTCATTGATGGTTTATATGTATAAAAAGTTCTTTTCTTTGTTGTCAAATCTTTTTCTTTTGGAATCTCATTGATTTTGGCAAAATTTAACAGGGAGAAACATGGCTCCACCTACGAGAATAGGACTTGCTGGTTTGGCTGTTATGGGCCAAAATCTTGCACTTAACATTGCTGAGAAAGGCTTCCCCATTTCTGTTTATAACCAAACTACCTCTAAAGTCGATGAGACTGTCGAAAGAGCTAAGCAGGAAGGAGATCTTCCTGTATACGGTTTCCATAATCCTGAATCTTTCATTCAGTCAATCCAGAAACCTAGAGTGGCGATCATGCCTGTTGACCAAACCATCAAGACTCTTTCTGCATATATGGAGAAAGGCGATTGTATCATCGATGGTGGCAATGAGTGGTATGAAAACACCGAGAGACAAGAGAAAGAGATGTCGGAACTTGGTTTGTTATACCTCGGGATGGGAGTCTCTGGTGGTGAAGAAGGCGCACGAAATGGTCCCTCTTTAATGCCTGGAGGGTCTTTGAGGTTTACAAATACATTGAAGACATTCTTCTTAAGGTTGCGGCTCAAGTTCCAGATAGTGGTCCATGTGTGACTTACATCGGCAAAGGTGGATATGGTAACTTTGTCAAGATGATCCATAATGGAATTGAATACGGTGATATGCAGCTGATTGCACAGGCTTATGATGTGCTGAAGTCTGTCGGGAGATTATCAAATGAATAACTACATAGTGTTTTCTCAGAATGGAACAAAGGCGAGCTCTTGAGCTTCTTGATTGAAATCATTGCTGATATATTTGGAATTAAGGATGACTAGGCAGATGGTTATTTAGTTGATAAGGTTTTGGACAAAACTGGCATGAAGGGTACCGGTAAATGGACTGTACAACAAGCTGCAGATTTGTCTGTTGCGGCTCCAACAATCGCAGCTTCTTTGGATTCAAGGTTCCTTAGTGGGTTGAAGGAAGAAAGAGTCGAAGCCGCCAAAATCTTCAAATCAGGAGGATTTGGTGATATCTTGACTGATCAAGTTGTGGGCAAGGCAAACTTAATTGATGATGTGAGGCAAGCACTTTATGCATCCAAGATTTGCAGTTATGCTCAGGGCATGAATCTCATTCGTACAAAAAGCATCAAGAAGGGTTGGGACTTGAAGTTGGGGAATTGGCTAGGATATGGAAGGGAGGCTGCATTATCCGAGCTATTTTCCTCGACAGAATCAAGAAGGCTTATGATAGAAATCCTGAACTTGCAAACCTTCTTGTTGATCCCTAGTTTGCAAAGGAAATCATTGACAGGCAATCTGCTTGGAGAAGAGTTGTTTGTCTTGCTATCAACTCAGGTATTAGCACTCCGGGCATGTCATCCAGTCTTGCTTATTTCGACACTTATAGGAGGGAAAGAGTACCGGTTAATTTGGTTCAAGCTCAGCGAGACTATTTCGGCGCCCATACTTATGAAAGGGTCGATATGGACGGATCTTTTCACACTGAATGGTTCAAGATTGCACAAAAATCTAAAAGATTAAGATTTACTCTAGTGGTACTACTTCAGAACTCCCAATGGTGTAATAAACATCTGATCTGGAGTTTATGCTACACAGAGCTACTACTATGGTTATTTCTTTAAAAAATTTATTAATTTCACTTCTCAAATCCAACTTCGAGTGTTTGTGTGTTGAATGTTGTACTGCTTTTTCCAGATTTGAATATGAATCAAGCCGATGGCTTGCCTTTTTCACTTAAATGTGATATTTACCAGATGTGGGTCACTGTTAGATATCAACATTTTCGACAGGTCCTCACAGTTCTCGTACTAACTCGTGTTTTGATTTTGTTAATTTTGCTACTGCCTTCTCTTGCATCACTCGTAGGTTAAGGGAAACTAACAACGGATCATTCAGTTCGCATATTCGGTTATGTAGATTAGTGACAAATTTCTAAACCTGTTTGTTCAATTTCTGTTATCTATTAGCAGTGTTCTTTACGCAGATGAACAAAAGTAAAAGCTTTTTAGGTTCATTTTTCATATGAATTATTGCTCTTATAACAATAAAATAGAAGTTTACATTTCCATATAGGATGAACTGTCTGTTTTTTATGTTTCTTTTTAGGTCATATTTAATTAGCCTACTAGGACTCATAAAATAATATATATATATATATATATGTATGTATATATATATAATTTTACATTTTTTTGCACTTGCATTTCTTGGTATAGGATCAGTTATAAATGGTCTGTCATTAAAAAATGTCTTCTTTTGATCCTCATAGTTGTCATTTGTCCCTCTGGATACATCCTCTTTCCAGCACATCATACTCTTTTTGTTCATGGTTTTGCACTTACAGACACATGAATGGTCTGTCATTGCAGCTATTACCCCATGACTGATCCGATAACCGAAATCGAAATGCAGTGTTTTGATTCATTAGCGAAACAAATTAAATGCTAAAGATTTAGTTATCTTTTTTGTGCATTGATATCGAAGGTATAACATTCTGTTGTTGGAATCAAAACACATTGCAAACCAAATATCATCTCAGTACTGAAACAAAGAAAGCAACATATTGTGAATTTGTGGTCATACATATATATTCTTGGAAGAGAGACCTCGGGAAGAAAGAAAGAAAAAAGTGTTTCAGGCTCTCGACCGGACTCTACTTTCGAGACTTGGCTTGACCGCCGAGTCCCTTTTTGGATTTACTGCTGTTTTCAGAACTTTTTCTTGTTTCTTTCTTCGCCTCCTTGCGCGTAGAATGCTTGCTAGAATTATACTTGCCATGACTACCTTGACCATCCTTTTGTTTATTCTGCTGATGATGATGGTGACTTGGGGCCGAAGAGGCATCAGATACCATCGAATCGTCACTGTTTCCCTCACAGTCATGGACATAATCTTTGGTATTGCGATTGCTGTTATAATTCTCTTCACTGCATTCGTAATCTTCCTCCATCAGAGAAGCCAAGTGCTCGTCCACCCGGATTCACTGCTACTACATTCTTCAGGGCTGAAGAACTGTCTGAAAGGATCCATTATAAGAGGTTAAAATCTGTATAGAGAGGTATATAGGCAAGAAACTGGCCTATTGTGTATGAAGAAACATAGAATGATAGTATATATATAAAAAACACAACACACACGTGTATCTTTACACTAAAAATTGTCTGTACTTGCACAATGGTGCAGATGAACCAATTATATTAGAGCACGGAGTCCCCACTATGCTTTTTCATGTCATTTTGTTCCTTTAATTTGCCTGCGTTTTGACATAAACAAAAAAGCGAGCTTTCCTGGATTAAACGTGCATGGTTTACCTAAGAACTTTATGCTTTCGGCCTGTCTTTGTTTGTTGTTGTTGTTTGTCTGGTAAGAAAGATGACCTGTGTCTTGTTTCTTATTGAAATAAACTGTGGCATGTGGTGGCCTTGCCATTATTGTTTCATTCTAATTTTGTCCTGCTCACAGATCTTCTCTGTGGAAATTGCGGAAAACAATACATTGTGGAATGGAAGAGACGTCCCATGACATGGGTGCTCATCACAGGAAAGATTGCAAATCCAAAGTCCATTAAAACTAAGGGGTAAATGAACAGATCATTCTATAAATTGTTTTGTTCATTTATTAAGCTAAATAAACGGATATGAAAAAAAAATTATGTTCATTTAATAAGCGAACGAACACGAATAGATGTGTGTTAGGTTTGTTTATGTTCACTAATAAACTCGTTTCGAAACTCGTTTAGTGTCTCATCTATAAACTCATTTATAAACTTTACCTGATTCTCATTTTCCTTTTTTTTTTTGAAGATAGAAACTAAATTGAGTACATGACAAATTTTAGAGTTCAAATTGTAGCATAAAAAACTTAAGGACCAGTGATATAATTTCACCATTTTTTAAAACGAATACTAGCTAAACAAACATCACGTATTGACAAACGATAAACAAACATATTCATATGCGCTAAACGAACATATTAGTGAACGTTAAAAAAATATTTATGTATATTAAACAAATCGAACACGAACATATTCAAAAATAACGAACATGAATCAAACATGAACATATTCTAAAATAAAGAAATGAACATAAACGTAACCTTATTCGTTCAAGTTCGGTCGAAGCTGTGAATCATGTCAATATAGACCGGTTCTTTCATTTCAAGTGGCGGCTTAAGAGACCAGTCACCTTATCTTCCTCAGCCAATTGCATTATTACATCCTCAACATGTTGTTATATAAATAGCTTACTTTGCTTTCAATGTACAAGATATTTATTTCGATATTTTTTTTCTCCATTTCACTATGTGAAATTAGACATTGCTTACTTCCAAAATTAAAATGATAAAAAAGTAGCATTTAAATTCATCAAAGTTGCATGTGTATTTGAATGTAGACTGGTTCTTCATTTTAACCGGCGTTCTCACATATTAAACAATTTGAGGAAGAAGATCATGAGATCAGCCTGTAAATTTTGGACAAAGAACTTCGGTTTGGACGGATCTGGACCAAAAATTAATTAGTACGTACTTAAGAAAATGAGGGGGGAAAAGGGCAAAAAAGGTATTAGTGGTCCCTCTACTAAAAACAATAGTTTGATGACTAAAATTAAGAAATAAACAATAGATTGATGACTAATGATGCAATTTTCCCGAAAATACTAAAAATAACGACATTTTCAGCAAGTAAAATAAAACTAGTGGCCGGAAGCTTGTGGGGTTAATCCCTTCAGTTATATATGATTATGGGAACTTGTTTTTGTGCCTCAAGAACTTTGAAGTGTGTGTTCTGTCCGTGATCTATATACAGTCCATTTTTCTCTTCTTCTCTACCTTTAATGTGTATCGATTCTCAACTGGGATTGAATTGAATAAAATTCATACTTCTGGGGAATTATTGAAAAAAAATATGGGAAGAAAACCATGCTGTGACAAAGTAGGGTTGAAGAAAGGACCATGGACCACTGATGAAGACCAGAAGCTTATTAGCTTCATCCTCACCAATGGCCAATGTTGCTGGAGGGCTCTTCCTAAGCTGGCAGGTCAATAACTTTTTTAGTGTTAGTCTATTATTTATAAATCAGGAGATTATTCGCCAGGGAGAACATTATGACCATTTTCAGTGATGTTTTTGTTTTTGGACGTGTCACCAGGATTGTTGAGGTGTGGGAAAAGTTGCAGATTGAGATGGACAAATTATCTTAGGCCAGACCTGAAAAGAGGACTTTTATCTGAGTATGAAGAGAAAATGGTGATTGATCTCCATGCTCAACTTGGCAACAGGTTGAAATATTTTTAAATAAAATTATATCGAAAACTTTGAATATGAATCATAAAAACGACTCGAATTGATTATTTATTTGTGTGTGCAGATGGTCTAAGATAGCTTCTCATCTCCCTGGACGAACCGATAACGAGATAAAGAATCATTGGAATACTCACATCAAGAAGAAACTAAAGAAAATGGGCATGGACCCTCTCACCCACAATCCACTAAGTGAACCCCAAGAGCAGAAGATAGACAAAAATCCCAAGGACCTGTCTCAAACATCCTTGAATCCCACAATGGAGACGATGACGATGAACGACATCGACGATTTTTGCACCGACGAGGTTCCGTTGATCGAACCGCATGAGATTTTGGTCCCTGTCACTGATTACGCGCCGCCATCGACGTCTTCTTCCTGCGATTCTTCGAAGCTGCTCAAAGAATTAGAGTTCCCGGATTTTGAATGGCCAATTGATTGCAATACTAGCAGATACGATGACAATGTCGGATTATGGGATGATGGTGAGTTCAATGTTTGGGGGGATGATGATGAATCATTTTCATCTCCCCAGATTCAGTGTCCATTGAGAATGCCTTTTGATCTACAGTATTCCTGGACATATATATGATTTTGATTTCTTTTTCTTTTAAATGTGGCTTTATTTTTAGATTGACAGTCATTTGGTGTAACATTAGAGAAAGGATAATAAGTTGTGAAGAACAATAAGTGGGAAAAAATCACCACGAGTTTAGTTTCTTTTCCTTTGTGTGGTCTTTTGTTTTCGATTTGTACATATATGATGAATAAAAGAGAAGAATTCAACGTCTTGTGGGTCCAGTTTGATCTTATTTAATTAAAAAAAATATTTTTAAATAGTATTAATTTTTTTTTGATAAAAAACCGTTAATTTTATTAAAAATATACATAACTGCTATGAAGATTCACAAACATAATTGTAAACTTTAACCAAATTATAATTAAGACATCTTCTTATAATTATTGACACAAAAACTAGTCAATTGTGTGAATTAGTTAAAAATCACAAAACGCGAACAAAAACCTAACCAAATCTGATTGCATCGACAAAACAAACCACAAAAGGGTATTGAAAGATCACTGACAAATCGTAACTCAGAGTTAAGCGACGTGAGAAAACTATTCACGAACGCAAAACGCGTATCCAAATCAATCTGATGGTCTAAAGTAGGGAAGATATGCATGATAACAAATAAACACAATCTTGATCAGTCGTGACGATGTCAAATCCAATCTTGAGAAAAAAATATAAACGAACATAACGGTCAAACTACTAAAAACTATCAAAAGACAGAGATAAACGTGTCACAAAGACATACTTATTTTTATTAACAAAACTAAAAATACAAATAGAAAAGATAAACTGCATTCGGTAATCAACATCAAAACCGATGTAACTACCGACTAAACAAAATTAAAAAAAATTGATTTGATTTATAGAAAATAACACAAATTACATAGAAAAGGAAAAGAAAAAAAAGGGAAGAAATGAGAAGGAACTTGATTTATATAAAATCAAATTTTATGTAATTAGAAATTTTAATTATCCTCTTTATTTTGTATAGATATTATTAGTAGTAGTACTAATTTACATATCAGAAATCATTATAATTCGACGTCTATTATAATTTTATTGTTTGAGTTAATTTACAAAATGTTTTTGGATTTAAAGTTAATTTTTTATAGTAATTATTAATATTATTTAGAATTAAATTTATATGTCAACGAGTGTTGGCACAAATAAATTGCTAAGTTCGAATTCTACCAGCGTCACTCTTGGTGGACAATCTATAAATTCCTATGTAAATCTCAATTAGGTCTTAGGTATGTCTTGATCATGGACTGAGGGAGCCACCATTGACCTAAAATTTTTGTACGTAAGAATTTACATATTGTCCGGTAAGAGTGACGGTGGTAGGATTCGAACTTGACCTTATAAGCTCAAATTTCTGAATCTCAACCACTTGTACCATCACTCGTTGACATAATTATAATTTATGTAACATAAAAAACTAAAAAAATTAAGATGTATTAACTTTTGTTAACGAAAACCTAAAATCTATAGTTTAAGTTGCATTTGGCCCAATCGTCACCACATATAAATATCTCAACTGCACAGCTTGTTCGTCAACCTCGTGTATGTGAACTGATTGAATCTGATTTTTTTAATGTTCCATGCACGTATTGTTTCTATTTTTATTTGTTTAATATATAATTTTTTATGTTATATCCTTGCATATTGATAATTTTTTAAAATTTCCATGTAAAGATTCCAATTGACTTAATCGAATCCTACCAACTATTTCCACTTATTCTGAAATTGAAATAATCTACAGTCCAACAATTAAATTAAAAATTGACTTATTAAAATTGATTAGTATAAACTAATAGCTAAGTGAGAGTTGAAAATCTCCATACTTTTATCTTATTTAATAAAAATCAGAGAAGAAAACGTAACGGTGGGATCATAATTAAAGATGAAATAATAAGCTAAAACCATTATAAAAAAATAACCTAAACTAATGGTTTAGTACTCCAATTATCACCTTTATTCTGTTTTGGTCAGTAAATTATTTATTTTTTAAAATTATACTTAATATTTAGTTTTAATTTCATTATTGTCACCTATTGTTAATAAATTAATGGTGATTCTGAAGTATCAATATAAGGTAATGTCATGTCGTCGTTGAAAAATAAAAAATTATATGTCAACAGTTATGTTAATTTTTTAACTGTGAGCGGCCAAAATACGGTGAGTGACCAAAATAAAACCAAATAATAGTGGTCAATATTATTTATTATTTTCATTATAAGTGTTTCTGATAATGACAACTACTCAAAAAAATTATAAGAAGGTTGGCCTCGTTAAACCCGCTTCATATCAGGGGTAAGCTAGTAGCAACTACTCAAATTATTGTAAGATAAAAATAACACTTGTAATTATAATAATAATAATAATAATAATAAGTTATCCCTACTGTATAAATACATAACTTAATTTATGTTAGAAATTTATAGAAACAAATAATAGAAGATCAACATAAAATAAATTGTATATAAAAGACGAAATTTAACACGATTTAGTTTTATCTATATTATAGATAAAATAAAAATGATCCATTATAAAGATAGATAATACAAAGAGCGCAAATAAATAGAATTTCATCTATTTTATAACTTAATATATATATCTTAGAATTTAATTGCATCCTAAAATCCTCGTGTACAGTTTTACTAAACTATCTATGTAACGGAGATTCCCGAAAATGCTTCTTAAAAACGTTAGATGTTCTCCACGTCTTTCCAAAAGCGTCATGTATTCTTCAGATTTTTCTATTGATATAGTAATAAATATACTAATTAAGAAAATAAATTTTCCACGTTATACTTAAATCATTTTTTTACACAACATTATCTAAAAGATTGTAATTTTTCTCAAACATAACTAGAATACATATTCTACTAACAATAGTATTATATTTCCCCCCCAAATTGAAGGTGCATTTTGAGCAACTCCAGTGTTGCGTTGGAGTGGAGTTGGAGAAGCACTGTAGAGTCTCTAGCCCTACGCTAGATGCATCTCTACTCTGAAGAGCAATTGGAGCTGGACACTACATGTAACGCTACATGTAGCAACTATACAAAAAAATTCATGATTTTTTATTTTTTTTCTTTTTAATTTCATTTTTTTAAATTATTTTATCTTATTATATCTTTTATCTTTTTAATTGTAATTTCTTCACAATAAAATAAAAATTAAACATAATATAATATATTCAAGTTGATTAAATTGCAATATAGATAAAAATATATTTAAATTAGATAAATAAACATATTAATTTCTTGAAACATAAAAACTACAACAAACATAAAAACATAGAAAATACTGATAAAACTCAAATAATAAATAATTATGTAATTTATGTTTTTCACATTATTATTATTAATTGTAATTTTCTTATTTATTTGTATTTTCACAATGTTATTTATGAATATTTTATTTATACTTTTTATCTTGATATTTTTTTAGAAATGTATATGTTTTATTTTATATTATAAATCAATATTATAATAATTAAATATTATGAATAAAGTAGAATTGTTGATAATATAGAGATAATACTAAAGATGAATTATTATTTCATTTCTAAAGTAGAGATAGAGAAAATTGTAGAATAGAGATGAGGGCTAGAGTGGCCTAAGTAACAATGTAAACTTTTAATTAAATTTGTTTTTAATTGACACACTTTGGCTTTAGTAATTGGCAACCAATAGTAGAGAAGATAGCTTTGTCGTGTTAGCAAAAAACGAAGATTTATAGTGACGCTGACATTTTGTCCAATCGTCAGTACATATAAATATCTCAACTACATAGCTTCTTTGTCAACAAAGCCGGCTAGTATGGAGCGCCTGAGCGATTGTTCAGGCCCACATTTTTTTTCATATTTGTAATTAGGACCCTTATTTTTTTCTTTATAATTAGGGTTTTAATTTTTAAAATCTATTTCTTTAACCTTTATAATTGAGTTTTTTTTTAATCTTGTCTTTTATCTTTATAATTAAAGTCTTTATTTTTTTCAATTCTATCTTTTACCTTTCTAATCGATGCCCTTAATTTTTCAATCTCACTTTTTATCTTTGTAATTGATGCCTCTAATTTTTTAATCACACTTTTTACCTTTATAATTGAGGCCTCTAATTTTTTTAATCACATTTTTTACCATTATGATTGAGGCCTCTAAGTTTTTTCAATCTCACTTTCTACCTTTATAATTGAAGCCGTTAATTTTTAATCTCACTTTTTACCTTTATAATTGAGGCCCTAAGTTTTTTCAAACTCACTTTCTATCTTTATAATAGAGGGCCCTAGTTTTTTAATTTCATAAAATTCTCAATTTCTCATCACTTTCTCTATCTCTCTCATTAGTTCATTTAATTTTAAATTAATTATAATCATTTTTATACAAATCTCAATCTTCAATTTACCAATTATTATTTTTAACTCTTAGTCTTCTCTAACATCAACCTAACGATAAAATATATGTTATTCTTTACTTTTAAATTTATTGTTCAAAATCAAGCTCCATATCGTAATTCATACCCACATTCAATTTTTTTTCTCTTAGTTATATTTAAGGTATTTTCTTAACAAAATAATGAAAATAATGTTCGACAAAATTTAATAATTTTTATGATTATTAATGTAATATTAAATTAATTATTCAAAGTAATAAAATATATTTTCGTTCTATAAAGACTTTTTTTTTTAGTTTTTGCTCAGGATCTCGAAAATATTCGAGACCACCCTGTTTTTCAATCAGATGTATGTGAACTAATTGAATATGATGTTTTTGTTGTCATATGTGTGTGTGTTATGTCCTTGCATGTTGATAATATTTAAAAACTTTCATGGAATGATTCCAACAATTATATTAAAAATTAACATATGGAAAATTGAAGAAAATGTAAATTAATAGCTAAGAGCTGGAAATCTCCATATATATCTTATTTACGAGAAGAAAACACAACAAAGTATGATATCATCAAAGTTGAAATAATCAGCGAGAATCATTATATAAATATTATCATTAGTTACACTATTAGTTTAGTTATTTTATACAGAAAATAAATAGAAACCGTTAAAATATAAGGTAAAATATACTTATTAGATTTGACTGAATTA